CCCTTGCTCTCCGTAGATTAAAGGGCCGCTACTCTGCTGTTTGTTGACATCCAGCGTTGCAAGTCTCCTTCCCCTGGTCCCGTCTGTCTCCCTGCTGTGAGACAGCCCCATAGAAGCCTCAAGAGCTCTAAAGTGCAGGTATGGCCAGCAGAGGGAGCATTGCGGTGCTGGATGTAAACAATAGAAGGACCATGCCCATTGCATCTGGGTAAGGAGGGGTAGCGTGGGATCGTTTATGTCAGGAAAGGGTGAATAAAAAGGATAAGTGCTCTTTATTTTAAGGTACACTTATCACTCTGGCATTGCCTGCAGATTCCAACTCTTTCTAGGTAGGTAATTGCTAAACTTTCATCCCTACTGTCACTCCCAATTCCATATACACCAGCGATATGCTTCTTTGGTATCCTTGACAAGGAAATATGGCCCAGGTACACCAGGATCTTTTTGGAGGAACACTGTTTTTAGCACGTAAAATGGTGGCTGTTAAATGGATGTGACCTGCTGCCAATACAATTTCTCAATGGATTGTTTTGGTTCATTATTATTATTGTTACAGAGGATTTATATAGCGCCAACAATTTGCGCAGCGCTTTACAATAGAAGGAAGACATTACAATCACAATACAATTCAAGACAAGATGGTAAGGATCAGGTAATCCCATGTGAAAAACATATTTATGTGAATAGGATCTAAAAAACACCAGAAAATGTGGGGAGTCTGGGAGGCTTCTGGCATGGTCTTTGATCCCACCATACAAATATGGAGTGTATAACCCACTGTGGTCGCCTTTTTTGTTTTAGCTGTTTGTATATAGTCATATGGAATATTATAATTTGAGTTTTGTATATGATACAAATGCTGTTGAAATTAATGACACAATGGTGAATTTAATTTAATTGTTTACATGTTTATTACTTTCTGTAAACTGTCCTTCTGATAACATGCTGTCAATGATGTTTACAATCTTTATTTATGTGCAATAAATGAAAAAAGTGCAATTATCCTTAAATTTGTTTTGAGAAATACAATGGAAATGTTTATTACCATTGTGCCACTGTTTGTTTTTATGCAAGATAAGGTCATTATTTAAAGTAATTGATGAACATTGAATATGTCTGATCTATGGGGTTCATTTTGGGATGGACTCAAGGTGAAAATACAGAAAAATTGTATAAGTATAGTATCTAAAGAATCTGAATTAAGTACTTGTATGTTTAAACTCAAGAAACTATTAGAAAGAAAGTTGCAATGCTTCTGGCACAAAAAAATTATTTGATAGATATATAGAAGAGGGATTTACTCCCTGGGGCCTTAGAGTACAGATCTTTCCGAATGTAAGAAATGGTAGTCAAGAGTTAAGAACAACATGGGAAGCAAACTTACAAAAATGCTCAACACCAATGATGGACATTCTTGGTGGATATTATCATAAATAAATAGTGATAATAGATGAAGAGATAAAGATCTTGTATTCCTCTTATGGATCACTACTTTCTCTACCAACATTTGAGAAACGAGAAAAATAAATGCTTGCTCATGTAGAAAATTTTAATAAAGGCATCTTCCTGAAAAAAGATCAAAAGTATATTCGGGATAAATGGCGTACTGCACTGGGCAGGCATATAAATGGACAAAGAGACAGGAAACACACATGAATAGGAATATACATAGACATGGTGGAGAATTCAATGATGACTCAGACTCAGGGTTAGAACATTTGCCAGTTTTTAACTATTGTTTGTGTCTTTGTTGGGGGGATTCTCTCACTTTGACAAGCTCTTATTGTTGTGTTTCAGGGACAGGAAATAAAAAAGAAAATCTCACTAAGGGGACAGAAAAAGAAAAGAAATGGCAGTGTTCTTACATATGCCTTACTCTTTTCAAAACAAAACCAAAAAGCTTTGTTTTTGTGAAGGCCACCATCTATTAAAGTGTACAAAAGGACTATCACAAACATAGAAATTATTTAAAACACTTTATTATAATAAATGAAACAAATTGGGACAAATTCAATAAATACACCTGTGCAACAAAACAAATTGGAAATACATTCAATAAAAAAAATGTACAATAATACTATCAAATGATTCAGTCATATAGCGCAGGCATTAATGTGATATTGTGAACACGCAATGTGTTGACTCTGCTCCAATTATGGCCAGCATTAATTTTTCATGGCTAACAATAGTCAATAAACATTATAATAAACATGGATATTTTTGTCAAAGTTTCTGAAATAAGAACTATCTATAGTGTATCTCACCAGCCAGTTCAATCTTAATTAGAAAGGTGGGAAAACACAATTCTTACTTTAGACACTTTGAAAAGTGAGGCCTATTGATTGTCAGCTAGCCGTGGCATCTTCTTTAGGTAATAATCTAATATTTTGACTCCTACAAAAATGCATTATTATCCACAGTGTCATACATTGTACAAAAATTAGAACAAAAAATACTGAAGTCAAAGCCAGAATCATTGTAGCTATAGGTAATAGTCTACAATAAAAAACACTGCTACATTAATAAAGTGCCAACATAATTTGTACTAATACCTGCCCATATGGGATATGAAAGCACTGTCTGTTTTGTCAGACTGTGATTGCTGGCTGCTGTTCTTTTAGTATACTAAGTAGCACTTTGCAGGAACAGGGTAAGTGGAGACCGGTTCTCTTTCTGGGTACTTAAACGTTATTGAGTATGATTGGATTTGAGCTATTAACATTAAAGCAAAGAAAGTGTTAGGTGTTTCTCATAGGGAACACAGGGATTCTATGTTTTCTTTTCTTTTTTTTTTCAGTGTAGGTCAAAGAACAAAAGATAAAAGTTGATAGTTTGCTATTAGGACAGCCCCATTTTTCCTCCTCAATTTTTTAATTGGAACACGATCCCTTTAAAAAAAAAATTTGATCTAGACCGATTTCCCTCATTGATGGTTTGCCTCTATACACACAGGTGAAAAAGCATGGTTGCTGCCCATTTCCTCTTTTATACTGAACATGTATATTGTCCCCCATCCACTGAGAAACTATGGAGAAAAAAATCAAAAAAGCTTGCTCAGCATGTTATCTGGTTTTTTTTTAACATCTACCATTGCTTGGAGCAGTAAACCGATTAACTGTTTTGCTAAAAGCTGAAGTGGAGTGGAAAACTGTCCTACCTGCCTGGTTGTTATGTTGAGTCACAGACTTTTGTATTTTTTGAGTCACTGACATAAAACAAGTATACAGCCCAGGAAATACATTCCAAGTTAATATCTCTAAGTTTTGAAGAAAGAGAGTCACTATGTCAGGCAACTAGCCGATTCAGTAGCTGAGGTAGCAATGGCATCCCCCATATCCCTCCCATGGCTGGTTCCCTTTAAGCGGTGTTCCTTCTTACGCTGCTGTCCTAGAAACCAACCCATGAGTGCCCTATAGTAATTGCAGCTCCATAGATACCCCACATCGGGTGCTTATTGATATCTCCAACTTCCCGCATAGAATTTTGAACAAATCCCAGCATTAAAAAGTTTTCTTCTCTAGTACAACTTAATAGGGTCTATAGCTGTAAGCATAACAAGGTGTAATTAGATTCATAGCTAGCAGAGTGTTAACGAGCCATGGCCACGGCACAGTTTGCACATGCTGCAGAATGCAGAGCAGTTAGTTAAACGTCTGTGTCATGCAGGTTAATTGGACAAACAGGCTCACATACCAAAAAAGGTCAGTGGGAAAATATATCAGCTTTTCCTAAGCATAAATAGATTTGCATAGTGGTGAAGCAGACTCCTTGTTCATAGGTAATTAGCACATACCTGACTTCCGTCCCATCCACATAATTACAGTACAGTGCAGAGCTTAGCAGTAAGAAGAAGTGACAGCGTGTTAAAGGTTGCTCCTGACTTTTTCTGCTGAGATCAGGGATATATGAACTGTTTAACCCTGTACAGCTCAGTTGAAGTCACAGAAAGAGATTGGATAGACTTTGTACTAATAACCCCCAATTTCATAGACCTACCTGCGTTTTTTTTTTAACAGTTTGCAAGGTGTGCAAATATGACTGTACCGTCTAATAAGCACCAGTGCACTCATTAATTGACATGGTCAGACGTGCCCCTTCTCTTTTTCTGCAATACAAGTCTATGTGAGGACATTTGTATTGAGGGGTGCGGCTGTTACTCAGCTCTGCCAGTACATAGCACTGCAGTGTGATGGCAGTTTGCACAGAGTGAGAAAAGATCTTTTTTTTTTTCTTTTTTTTACTAAAAAAAGATATTTAAAGGAAATTGCAAGCAAAAATCATAATAATCAGAGGTAGAGGACTTAAAATAAAATGGTGTGATTCTTTAATTTTGTTTTACCATGCAGTACACCATCAAATGGCTATACAGTTTCTTTAGAATAATAGCAATGCAAATTGTTGCTCTCTATGTGGTTTGGGACTGTAAGTGCTAGAACGTCAGAGCCATGTAACTGTTGTTTTTAATACTATTCTGCTTCCTAATTCTAACAAATAATGTTACACCCATACTTTGCTATTAGGCCATACGCCCAAGGTGCAGCATTATTAGGGATCATCACACCTTATGAAAATAAGTAGCTGAGCTCTGGGAGGAAATTAAAGGTCTATCTCTCCTAGAAGCAATGCAGTTTCATGCAGTTAATGGTGACTTAACAAATAAACATTAAAGGGCAGTTGTACATGCAGATATCACCTTCCAGCACTTCTGCCACCCCATAAGCATAAACATTTGGCTCAGCTGAGTATTCATGTTTACCATGATGGAGGGAGTTAGCAGGATTGGTACAGGCAGATCATGGATGGGAATAATGGAATAGGAAAATGTTTTCCAACCTGACTAATAGTTTCCCCAGAGAGTAGACAGCTGGTAAACATCTGCATGACCTAAGATCAATCCGGCCTAAAACGACCGCATTTGGAGATGTCATGTCTATGGGCAACATTATACTGGTCACACTAACAAGGAGAAGCCCATAGAAAAAAACAGTTTTGCAATATTTATACCAATTATACCAGCAATGTACAAATACAGGGTCAGATGCCCTTTCAGCCTTCTATAAAGAGATTGTGGCTGAAGTAGCTAAATCATTCTGACAGCACTGAGTGTCTAAGCATACATGTCAGTTTTCAAGTTCCAAAGACCATGTGGCAGGCAGATATTAAATACAACCTCTCTAAATCATGTATGATAATGAACTATGTCGATGTATTATTCTTTTTCAACCAGGGCATTGCAAAAAAAAGGGGATATACATATATTTTCAATGTACTGTTAATCCATAATAATGCATTTTTGCAAGTACACTGCATGAAGCTCATAAAGCAGATCCCCATAATAATATCTACTCTTACAATGTCTAAAAGTGCATTTTAAATTTAAGTTAGTTTAAATATTTACTTTAAAACTAGTTTGATCATTACGGCATGTGCATAAAATGCATTATAAAAGTCCAAAGTGGAAACATGAGAGCAAAGTCTCACCCAAGCCCAGTTCGACCCTGAAGAAGCTCCTTAGTGCAGGGCTGGTGGGAAAAAACGCAAGATTTTAGTGGTTCAGGGTAGTGCATCCTGTCTGTTGCAGCCTGTAATCATCTTCTTGCTTATTTTCATTTTAAGGTACATAAATTTCATCAGTTAATCATCAGATGTACTGGCTTCTGGAATACTGGATTTGGCTAGGGGTTTTCTCTTGCGTTTGGCATTGAACATAGACTGGTCTTGGCAGAGATGTTTGAGAGGAGTACACATTGTTTTTGCATCTGTCGTCATCCTCCTCCTCGTCGCAAGGGCGGTACCAGCAAAGTATAGCTCCGGCAATCAGAAGGAAAAGCATGGTGGGCCAGCCCAGAAAAATAGCTTCCCCTATTTCAAGCCTTTGCATTGTTTTGCAGACAGGGTTGTTTATTTCTCGGATGATGTTGCTGGTGGTCCAAACGATTGGAATTAGGACAAGTATGCCAGCCAGAATGAAGCCAACACCAGCAGTTAGAAGTAGACAGTATCTGCCATCACGTGCTCTTCTGCACCATCGGACACATATGAGGGCAACAATAGCTATAATGAAGGCTATGATGGCAATTACAACAGCAAAGGACATCAGGACTCTTCCGGCTTTTAAGTCAGTGGTGATAATCACCAAAGACTCATACTGTTTGCACTCCATAGAGTTTTGATTCTTGGTTATGCAGGTTAACCACAGACCATCCCAACGGCTCAACCATTGCCCATCTATACGCTTATCACAGTTGACAGCGTTTCCTTCGACCATGTAGGATACCCTCCACTGGGTCATCGCTGTCACAATGATGGTCAGAATTGTGCCAATAAGACCCAGAATGAGTCCAATGAGCTGGACAATGAAAAGTGCCATGGTTCTGCAGATGTTTTCTGGGTTTGAAGAATGCTTTTAAATGCAATGATGAGGCTTCAGAATGATTCCTGCAAATTCCTCTTCAGCAAGTCTTTGTGACAATCAGAGGTTTGCTTCTTTGAAGGAGGAGTTCTGGAGTTCTGCGCTGGTTGCCTTTCAGCGTTTCAATGGTGCAGGGCAAGCTCTGCAGGTTGTTTTTATTAATGAAGTCACGTGAAGCATGAACTCTTCGTCATAACCTGCTAACTACGGGCGTGACTGCACTAGGAAATCCCATTTATAATTGTTGCAAGTAAGGAGCTTGAAAGTTGAGTCGAAACTTGAATATATAAACCAAAAAGCATGTTTTTCCATGTGTTATACTAAATAGAAATCTTCCAATAAGCATTTAATGATATACAAGATGTGTCAGGGTAGTCGTCAGGTATGTTACAGTGAAAGTAATGAATTTTAGGCTCATTTCAAGGACAGCTGAAAACAGCTGTCACCATTTTTTTGAAGATAAGGATTATTATTCTGGTTTGTTAGCTTAGTGAAGTCTAATGTCAGAGTCAGGTTGTGCATTTTCACCATGTCCCTGTGAATCTTACTATCATATGGCAGTCAGCAACTAGATAAAGGATATTTTCAGAAAAGAAGTATGTTATGAAGCCTATGAGCAACTGCCATTTATGATTATGGTTATGTGGTTCCTTGTTAAATGCAATGTCTGCAAAAAAGCTAGATATAAACTTTTCTGTAATTTAGGATTACTGATTTAGAGCAATGAGATGTTCCAAAACTTTCTTAGGTGTAATAGAAACCTGACCATCACACCTATATGAACTTGTTTGACATCCCATTCCAACACCATAGGCATACATTTGGAGTTTTCCACCTTTTAGGCCCCGTTCACACCAGTGCGGTTCGGCCGCACGGATTTGGCCGTGCGATCCGAACTGCCCTCGCCCGAACTGCTCCTTGACCCTTTTTTGCCACACTGATCAGTGAGGTTTCCATACAACTTTCAATGGAACTGCAAATCAGTGCGGTTTTGGGCGTTTTTAATTGGGTTTCAGTGCTGAAATGCAATGAAAAACTCCCAAAACCTCTCTTTTTAAATCATCGCGGAAACCGCGCTGATCTACAGCCGCCCTGGTGTGGATGGACTCTTACGCCTATTTAGTCAAAAGAACATTTGTAAGGTCAGACATTAATGTTGGATGAAAAGACCTGACTCCCCATTGGCACTCAGGTATTCATCAGGGTTGAGGTCAGCACACTGTGCTGGCCACTCAAGTTCCTCCTTACCAAGCTCATAAAATCATGTCTTCAAAGAGCTGGCTTTGTGCACCAGGACACAGCCATGGTGGAACAAAAACAATTGTGTAAAATGTCTTTGAAGGCTATAGTATTACAGATCCTTTCCCTGATGATACCTGATCTCAGTTTTTTGGCGGGGTATCCACACACTATTGGGCAAATAGTGTAGGTATGGTGGTAAGGTGTCTATAAAACCTTTGACCATGTTGAGTATCTGTGGCACTTCGTAGGCACTTATCCAATGATGATATAAGTCTGATATCTAGGGGTTGATTTACTAACCTTTTAAACACACCACGAACGTGTATACACCTCTGTAGTGTGTTCCCTCCCAGCATGATCTATGGGAGGAATCAAAACACCTTTGTAGTGTGTACACACCCAGCAGGTGTGTTGTTCAAAGCCCTGCAATGAATTGCAAGGTAATGTGGTGTAAATTAGCTCTATGTTGTGTTGCTTGCGTTGATGAATGCAGGAATGTAAATGCATGAGCTAACCATTTTTGTCTAAACTGTGAAGCAGCATTATATATGCATCATGTGCATGATTTTTCCATATATGGCATTAGTGGAAATATACTTTTAGAGACTTTTTGGTTGATAAATACGTTTTGCTGTGTGAAAATCACACACACCTGGTGTGTGTGTGTGTTTAGGTTAGTAAATCAACTCCCTAGTCTCAGGGATTCAAACCTCCCCCCTACCCCACTTACCTGAACTGCAGGGTACTTCTCCCTGGATTGTCCCATGTATATTTGGATTTGGTTTGGCTGTGCATTGCCCCACTCAACAGCTGCATCATTCACAGATTGTGTGGTGATGTCACCACACTTGTAGTCCATTCATTCTTCCTATAGCCCTATAATCAAAGATCTGTACCTGTGCGCTGGGGCTGGGGGAAGAGTGTGAAGGAGCATGCGCAATTAATTTGCAGTGCTCTGCGGGATCCAATGTAAAAATGTATTTTTTTTTTCAAAAGGTTGAGTACGCTTTTAATGTTTCTTGAAACCTTCAGTTCAAACATGCAACATTTCTGTTTTGTTATTCAACAGACCATGTAAATACAGTACAAAAGAGTAAAAGAGTTTGGAATCCAGCTAAAGAAAAGAATTTCATAAACATCTTTGACCAGACAGAAAAGAAAAGGGGCTTTAGTCATCTCTGTGGGATTTACATATAATTTGTGATGAGTGATTTTTAAATGACAGTTACAACAGCACCAATTTCCCAATGTATTTGATGTGTTAGCCGCTCTCAAATCCCAGTGCTGTGTCCTAACATACAAAATTTATTCAACCATCAACTGTTATTATCCAACCACAACAAGATGTCCACATCCTAAAAAGGCTTCACGTATTCCAGTGCATTTATCATTCTATAAGACTATTTTCCTCTGTACTTGATTGTGCATCTTTCTTTTATAATAATTGTTTTATCATGAATGTCAAAAATGCCACATGTACACCGTTTAAATTAATTGCCAAAGACAACCTAAGTAAATGTAACAATGTCCACATTAAGTGGACATTAGAGGGATTTCTTTCAAATAAGTATGTAAAAGAGATCATTTTGATGTACATTCTTTGGCCAAAAGTATGTGGACACCCCTCCAAATTATTTTATTCAGATGTTTCAAGTGAAGGGTACTATTACAACATACAAAAACATTTCAGACATTTCCAAACTTGCAGCAACAGTTTAATAAAGGCTCTTTTATGTTCTAGTTTCGATGTGGCCCTTTGCACAAAGCTAACTATTGTTGGTAGTGCTAAAGGAGATTGTACAATCAGATTGTAAAGATAGGCCTGGAGCCAGAAAACAAAGAGGACAAAGCAAGAAAACAAAGAGGAAATAGTGGAAGGCCTACATGACAAGGGTGGGAACCAGTACAGGAAGGGTTAAATAAAGGTAGAAAGTAAAGTAGGGGCACTTACCAGATTGTGTGAAAGAGGTTGGCCAGCAAGGGCTTCGGAGAGAGGCCTGCCAGGAGGAGTCACATGGATCCAGTTGGAGATTGGCAGACAAGAAGTAAGCACCCCTCCCACCCGCCCTGGAATTGTTTTACATTCAGATTGGATTGGAAAGTTACGGCAGTTGCTTGTCGGTTTGGATCTTTGAAGGCGTTTTTGTCTGCTGGGGATTTTTTATAAATTAATGGAGGGACCCACCTCTGGTGTGGGTGTCCTCCATGTGGTAAAGTCCACTGTTAATAGGGACCAATGTGGGTCTGCGCTCAATTAATAACGTTCCCAAGGTGGTGTATTGCAGCTGGGGGCATCAGGTACAAAATGTGGCAAATTTGTTTTATGGTTCATAGTGCCTTCAAGGACCTAAAACCTGATAATTTTATACGGTCTGGTTATTTGATAATGTTTGTTATTTATACATTTATTTTTTATACTGGCTTTGTTTATAAAAGGCTGCTGTGACCTATGAACTCCATCCTATGGAGGATTTGGGGTTGACATGGCAAAAGGGGTTTGAGTGGGTATGGAGGACCTCTGAACTACCTTAGTCATGTATGGTAAGTTTAAATCTGATAAGCGAAAAAAGATCACGGATACTGAATACAAAATATCAGCTTAACAGACTACACAGAACTCTTAAAACTGATTTGTTTCATGGGAAGTTGCAGATTGTTGCTGTATGCAATACCGTTCAGAGTGTTATCCAACTAAATCCTACATTTGAAATGACTTAGTTTAGCTATTAAAGCGATCTGCTGATAGCTTTCAAGTACATGTTATTGATTTACAATAAAAAAAATTAAGGTATAAAAAATTTTAAAAAACGTGGTATGTCAAACACATGATAAATCAGCATCTTTGCATATTTTCATGACCGAAACACATGAAACATAAATAGTTATTAGACGATGACTTCTTCTCCAGGTTAGGTGTGGTGTCCTTATGACTTCATGTCATACTTGGAATGTCTGAGTGAATCAAATCAAAATGCAGTATTTATTTTCCCAGCCCAAGGATTAATGTCTGTCCATCTCTTTTACTATCAGATACACAAACACTTACATATGAGAACTATATATTTTTTTTTCAGTCTAGGAAATATGCATTTCACTATTTTCAGCCATTCGCAAGAACAGACCTCTTTTTCCAGCAACTAAAAGCAACCTCCCAGTAGGTAAGAGAGTAACTGGTTTCCAGGGTAACACAAACTTCCTTCGGTTGCTGTCATAAATGAGGACCAGGGTTTCACCTTTCCTTATGAGACTGGGCTAATATGTTATATTTTATACATTCATGCAACAATTTAGGCATGTAAAATGAATTATCATGTAATTAATGCAAATAATGTGTTGCTCTGGATCAGTATTGGACTAAGGGCACCTTTGTAAGACCAAATTGTAGTCACTTGCATGAAAGGAGGACTAGGCTGGGGGGGAGGGGGGGAGAGGGGCTAGGTAGGTGGAAATCATTTGCCAGTTCAGCTAATACTAATAATATATGTCGGGCTGGTGCCCCTGAGTGGAGATACATCACTGTTCAGACATCAGTCAGAGGTATACTTTTGTAAGCCCACATAAATATAGCTGGTTCAATGATGCTGGCCGTCATTCTTTCTGGAAGTGGAGCATCATCTGGGGGATGATTTGTGGGGTACAGGCGAGTCTTGCTGCAAAAGTTTTTTTATTTTTACAACAGCTGGTGAGTTTTTTTTTCGTTTTTTTTGAAGAAATCGAGTTCTCTTTCTTCTTTCCCCTTACTTTCAGTCTCCGGTACAGTGTGAATTGCCTGCAACAGGGGCTCAAACTGCATTGAAAACCCTTCCTTAGTCAACCCAGCACTAGTACTTAAAAGCTGTATTACTTATAAAATGTTAGTGGTCTGTGAGT